CTCCGAGGAGGAGCCCCAGGGGCTCTGTCACGTGTTGAGTGAGGACTGGTGGAACCGTGAGGAGTACAGGGGTCTAAAAAGTGACAGAGCCCAGGCTACTTGTCCCAAAGCAAGGCAAACGTGGCTCTTTTTGCTACTGAACACCCCATTTCCAGCTGATAAAAGCAGGGTTTTAGGCCTGTCTGAAAGAGAAAGGAGAGAGAATAGGTAGGGCATTCTCTACCTGTTGCAGTAGCTATGAGAACAGCCCAGGTCTAACAGACAAGGCTGCTCAAGGCACAGAAAGCAAGGATAAGGTACGTTTTCTGGCTGATTAGGTGTTAAGCGAGAAATGCTTTAATGTATCAATGGTGTTTAACAGCAAATCCCAGCTGTGCTGCTCACGGGCCATGTAGGGACTTCACCTCTCTGGCATTGGTTTCCTCACCAGTGACAGGGATAATCTCAGCACCCACACCACATAGTTGGTGCTACAATTCTAAGAAGTAAGAACCACTTAAAGTCCCTAGTTCACTGTCCACATGTTAAGCACTTAATATCACCACTTACTAACTATGAGAATATTTCTAAAAAATATTAATCCTTTCCTTCTTCCCCCACCCATGGAAAAAACCAACCAAGCAACCAATCAAACAACCAACCTCTCCCCCCGCATTTGTAGGTACCATGAGCTCCAGGGCTTGAGTCTAGACCAGCATGGGTGTTTTGAGTACTTGTTTCTCATCCTTGCCTGGTTGTAACCCCCTAAACTGGGAGCCATGCACCCCATGAACTCTAGGTCTAAAACACCTGTGCACTCAGACACCGGATGTGTTAAACTAACTGCCTTGGGGTGTGTGTGCATGCGTGAAAATGAGGATAATGCGCCGTCCTTGCCCTTGAAGGGGTCACAGTTTAGTGAGGGAGGATCTTAAGTCATCCTGTGACAATCTAATAATCCCATGCTCCTGAACCCACATGCACTCCTCCTTGCCATCGCTCCCACCCCCACAGCTACCCATTCTGCGGCATCCGTTCCTCGGCCTCTCTGCAAATGCTGGCTTTGGTCTGGACCCTGAGTGGAGCACTTAAATGCAATGAAAGCTGTTTGGTTGTATACAAGCCCTATGGGCCCCCTTCCCCACCCCCTGCCCATTTTTATCAGACCCTCCTGATGGCAGGGCTATGAAACTTCCTCTGGAGGGGACGGTGGGTCCCTGGACTGACCTTGTGCTGATGTGTTTGATCAGCTGTTTCTGGCCAGCGCTGGGGGAGCCAGCGCAAGAAGAGCCGGCAGGAGTGGTGTTTGATCAGAGCAGCTGGGGGCAGTGGGGCCCGGCTGGCTGCTCTTCTGCTCTTCGCCTTCTGCTAATCTCTTCTCAGAGGGCAGAGAGAGGAGGATGCTCTCTGATAGAGGAGCACACAGGTAACTTGGGAAGCAGCCTCACTGGTGGGAGTGAGATACCGAAGTGGGGTTCCCCCGAGCGCAGACATGAGGGCGAGCAGGAAGTACTGCTTGGCTCCAACTGAGCCTGTAGGGCGGTGGTTTTCAATTTTTTTTTTTAATACATTTTTGTTGTTGTTGTTGTTTTAAAGATAAGCTTTATTTATTTATTTTTGCCTTTTTTTTTTTTTGGCCAAGGCTGGGTTTGAACCCGCCATCTCCAGCATATGGGACCAGCGCCCTACCCTTTTGAGCCATAGGAGCCACCCGGTTTTCAACCTTTTTTATCTCACACACACTTGAACCTATAATGAACTTCCACAGCATACTTAAATTATGCTGATCCAAAAAAAAGAATAAAGAAAAGAATATACTTACTGTGCTTTGAACTTCTTTCGAAAATAATTTAATTAATGATCTTTAAAAATTTTCGCGGTACATTGGTTGAAAATCACTGCTCCACGTACACAACAGAGCACAGCCAGCTCTCAGAGAAACCAAGACAGCACGAGGCACTCCCTGTCCACAAGCTGTTTAAAATCCAAAGTGAGATGAAGCTGTGTAAGAATTAAGGCCTGAGCTGGATGCAGGCTTCATGCCTGTCATCCCAGCCCTGTGGGAGGCCAAGGTGGAAGTATCAGTTGAGACCAGGAATTCAAGATCAGCTTGGGCAATATAATGAGACCCGGCTTCTAAAAAAACTTTTTTTTTT